GCACACCTGTCCCCTGTGCTCCTAGCCACCTGCTTCCTCCTCCGATTCCTTCTCTTCTTCCTCCTTCAGTTCTCCGCCCCTCCCCACATGGTTCCTCAACTTTACTTCCTTTTTAACGTGCTTTCTGTTCATTCCTTCACCTCCTTTCCTTGGATTCGCTGGCCTAGGGTCTCTCTACCCTTTCTTCTTAAATACTGGATGACATATTGGTGCTGTTCTGTCTGTGTATTCAGTATTTAAGTGCTTGCCCAGTATTTCTCTTTTGCTTCGTTCTATGTTTTTGTTTTTCTTCCTATTTAAATATTGTCTATGGAATTCGGAAGCGACGTAAGGCCTGAAGCAGAATATCCTTGACAAAAAGGAAGTTTACAGGGAGACCTATAAAATGCTTATTCTAATCCTGCTATTAAGGCAACAACATTAAAAAGAAAGAAAGAAAAAAAACCAACAACATTATTTTCAGTCCATCTTGTTTCTGGGTTTAGTACTCTGGTCAGCACAAAATATATAAGAGCTGTTGTCACTGGAGTTTTTAATTTCCTTGCTGTTGTACTACTTCAATTTTTTAACAAGCGTTGAATCTCACCCTATGCCAATTTAAAGTGCATAATGGAAATACTAACCGATTTATCAATTCTTATCCAGGGCAGTTTGGAAGTAAACTAAAGATCTCAAATAGAAGATGAGATCACTACAGTAACTGGCTGTAAAGTTTATCATTATACTTGCACCTCCCTTAGGTTAAACAACCTTAGCAGTTGATGTTGGCCTTGACATTTAAGGGCCTGCATTCTAATCTAAGTAAAGCTGAGAAAAAGAGTAAGCTTCCTGTGACCAAGTTTGATTTCTGTGATTCAGTAGAACTGTTTTGATGCTAATAAAAGCACTGTAGAAACTTTTCAAGATGTTGCTATCATTTCTATATTACAAAATTCTTGGCGTTGGCTCAGAACTGTGAGAAACTATATTATTCCCTGATGTAGAATATGTTACCATTTTCTTCCATCTGAGTTGATATTTTTCACAATTGGAATGGCTAAAATTAAAATGTAATTGAACATTTAAAAAAAAGGAAGGGTAGGGCATTTTAGAACTCTGTGTCTACAGTGAACCCCAATTGTTTAATTCATTGAGCAGGAGACCCAGTAACAGTTTTTAAAAAACTCTGTATCGCTTTGCATCCTAGGGTTCCCAACTAAGATTACATAATTTGTTCATAATTATTGTATTGCTTAAATGTTTAAAAGGTATGTCATTTAAAATATGCTATCAGCAAAGAAGCTACATTGTGGGAGACACTGGGAGTGAAAGTAAGCAAGGGAATTTCCAGAAATTTTCCATTTCTAAACATACAGACTGGCCCATTTAACACTGTAGAGCAGCAGTTCTCAACCTTCTGGCCCTAAATACAGTTCCTCAGTTTTTTAGGAGACAGTCCCACAGAGTCCTAGGGAGTTGTCTTATCAGTATTTTTCCCAAGCCTGTAGAGCAGTGGTTCTCAACCTTCTGGCCCTTTAAATACAGTTCCCCATGTTGTGACCCAACCATAAAATTATTTTCGTTGCTACTTCGTAACTGTAATGTTGCTACTGTTATGAATTGTCATGTAAATATCTGATATGCAGGATGGTCTTAGGAGACTCCTGTGAAAGGGTCGTTCAACCACCAAGGGGTCGCGACCCACAGGTTGAGAACCGCTGCTATAGAGGAACAACTTTTATATTAATTTTTTAATATAAGGAGTAAGAAATGTGAAAGTGAAACAAATTCAAAATTATTTGAGGACAGAACAATAAAACTTGCATGATCTTCAGATTTTTTAAAAATATATATTTTATTGATTTTTTACAGAGAGGAAGGGAGAGGGATAGAGAGTTAGAAACATCGACCAGCTGCCTCCTGCACACCCTCCACTGGGGATGTGCCTGCAACCAAGGTACATGACCTTGACTGGAATCGAACCTGGGACCTTTCAGTCTGCAGGCTGACGCTCTATCCACTGAGCCAAACCGGTTAGGGCTGATCTTCAGATTTTTAATCATGATGGGCAGGAGGATTATGGAGAGAGAAAGAAGTATAAATTCTAGGAAAAGATGAGTCTTCTGTGATTATTCATTTATGTTCATTTTAAATCCCAAATCCAATGGGCACATTGTCCTTTACCAACTCTCGTCTCACTGATGAAATAGAGAATGAATATCATCCTATGACTTTATAAGCTTACTTAACTGCTTTTATAAGTGTCCCAGTACATAGTCACATTTTAATACTAAGAGGGTTGTTGGTAGTATAGAAAAATATTGCTTTTCTATATGAATCATTGATTAAAAAGCAGTCAAAATTAATAAGAAACAAATATGTGCAGCCTTGTGAAGGAAAATCAAAAAAATAAAAAAAGCAAGATTGAATGATAAAGGAAGTGGAAGTAGCAATAGCCAACCCTTTCAAGACATATGGACTGAGATGTACGGGATTGTTGACAGAAACAACAGATCATTGTGCATACTGTGTAATGAAAAGGTAGTAAGCAGAATGTGGAATGTAAAGAGACATTTTGAAACTAATCATTGTCAGCTCTTGAAAAAAAGTATCAATGAAAGGAAGGAATACATTTCTAGGCAGCTACACCTCTACAAAAGTCAATCAAATTCCATCATTAAATTTGTAAGATGCTCTACAAATTTAACATCAGCAAGTTACTGTATTGCTCACTCCATAGCTCAGCATGGAAAAGCCCTCAGTCACGGAGAATTTATTAAGGAAACATTTCTAAGATGTGCACCAGCTCTATTTCACGATATGAAAAATAAAGATATTATTAAAAGAATTTCTGAGTTACCACTCAGTAGAAATACTATCAAAGACAGAATAATAGATCTTAACAAAAACGTACAACATCAATTAAAAAAGGACTTAAATAGTTGTAAATATTTTTCCA